AACATGAATCAAACATGCACTTTATTTATTTCCACTAAATAACAAAAGTACATCAAAATGATTGAAGCTAAGGGCATACAAAACTGTCTAACACTAATATGAGGGAAGTTAGTGCTAACAAAGCCAAGATCTTCTTTTACCTCTGGGGAGGAGTGCAGTTGGTGGCTTTGGTTCTGGGAGATATGGAAGGATGCCATCATCTCATGGACTTCAGGAAGGGAGGTCAAGGTCTGCAATAAGGAATTGAGGAAGAGGGATGCACTGAGAGTGGAAGATCTTTGATGGAGTTTCTTTTTTGGCAGAGGGATTCTCCAACTCAAGGGATAAGGGAGTTGAGCTGGAAGAGTTATGGCTCCCATGTCTGAAATAAGCCATTTTATGTGGGTAGTTTTTAACTTCAAAAATTGAAACCATGAACAACTAATATTTCTTAATTTTTGGGATAAATAACTTCTAAAATTTTATTAATAATGAAACAGAATATATGCATACAATACAAGCACCCTGTGGAGAGGAGTAACAATCTCCCTACTCAAATAAAACAAGTTACAGTTAGCCCAAAATAATTGTTCCCTATTTGACCCCCTGTTTGACTAGTGTATCAGCCTAGCCATTTGCTGACCTCTGCACCCATTGAACTTTTTTAGACATATTCCTCGTTATCCACTTAAACAGTTTTATTTCTTCTTTATAGGCCCAAACCACTGTCTCAATGTTCCTAAACCTCCCAATTACCACTGTAGACTCACATTCTACAATTAGTTTGTCCACAATCATGTCTTTTGTCTGTAGCACTCCCTGCAATACAGCATAGAGTTCAGCCCTTAAGGAATCCCCAAAACCAATTGGTCCTGAAAACAAGGCTACAATATTATCCTCTTCGTTTTTAAACACTCCTCCCACTCCTAAAGAAATGATAATTGACCAAAATGCAGTTTAAAAATATTGATTTTTTTCCTGAAAACTTTGAATTGATTGTGAAATTGCACCAAGCTTTTAGGAAAACTTTGGTTTCAAGCCAGGTTTGAAACACATCCTGAACCAAATGTTAGATCTTTGACCAAGAAGAAAGAAAAAATGTAGAACTAGTTTTTATTATTATTTTTGGATCAGCTGAAAAAATAGAATAGTAATGCAACAGTAAAGAGCATCAGACTGGTAGATGTGTTATATAGGCTATCCTTATTTTCGTTCAACAACAGAAGATTTTATTTTGCCAAGCACCCTGAAATCAGATATTAAGGAAAAATGAATTCTATAAAATTATAGGAAAACATAAGAAGGAAACAGTTGGTCATTTGATTTGGTTTCCGCTTTCATGTTTTAATACAAACTTCTTAATTTTCTAATAAGAAAAATATTCAGTTAAAACAAAACTTGTACTGGTAAACCTGCAATTTGTCTGTTTTATGGCTGTAAGTTAGTGCCGGAATTCCATAATACTTTGTTGTTTCCTTGTCTTTTTCCAAAAAAAATAGTTCACAAGACCTGCTTTCAAGCTGCAAAGTGAATGAGCTCTTACTGATTTATAATATTATCATGTTTTCAAGCTGGACAGGAAAAATTCAGAACATTAACAAGCTCATACTATAGAGGTGCACAAGGAATCATTCTTGGTATGCCATTTCTAATTCAAAATTATCAAATTATCTTGTTTAATTGTAGTCACATACCGGAAACATGTTCTTTGTAATTAATTTTTTTATAGATTAAGTTTAAAAGAATTTCATTCATGAAACGGAAGGCAAGCAGCCCTTCAAGCATGTATAGAAAATGGATCTTACAAGTATATTATAACCCCTGTCTATACATCTCACTGCACAGCATAAAAAACCATAGAATTCCAACGATTTAGAAAATCATTCAAAGGTGTATCTTTAAGAGACTTCAGAATCTATACCCAACGAACCAACATCCATTCTATTTTACTTACTACTTCTTCTAGAGAATCATGCTATGCCAATTGAGAAAAATATGCGGCAAAGTTGAGAGAGCTCTGGTGAAGTGGGCCTCCATTCACAGCTTGTTCCGGGGCTTTAAGTTCAGTCATTTCCATAGTAATTGGGATAGAATCATTTGAGATGAAAACTTTGATATGTAATCTGTAATGTGAAGCTGGTTTGGATTCCTAGGGAACTAAACTCTGTAGCTGACAGCTTAGCCAAATCTGGAGCTCATAGAAAATCTATATTTACTGATACATCTTTGCCTGTGTAACTCTGTTTCTGCCTCTTAAGGCTTCTGTACATCTTCTCTTGTTAACTTTTCTCAAATAGCTTTTAATAAAATCTCAGTTAACTTTTCTCAAGAATTATTGTTTTTTTTTTTTCAGCCCATTGTGGTTGTACTGAGGGAACCTCTCCTTTGTTTCTCTTCAGAATTAATGAAGTCAGTAGAAAGGTTTGGACAACCTGTTTTGATATAAAAACTGTAAAAGAAAGAAGAAAAGAAAGAGKAGAAAAGGTTTCAGCTAAGAAAGAAAGAGATGAGAGATAGAAGAGAATGGGAGAAGCTCAGAATTAGATCTGACCGCCCCTTTCATTAGATTATATACTCATAAATAAAAGAGAGTACAAAGACAAGTATGCCCTTAGTAAGTCGGCTACTTGTGAGAACTTAACAAACACTCTTAACTTAAAACATAAACTAATGGGCCTAAGGCCCAATAACTCCCTAACTATGCTATGTAAATAAAAACATGTTATATCAGCTCAAAACTCAACACTCCCCCTCAAGTTGGGAATAAATGTCACTCATTCCCAACTTGCGTAGATCATGTTCTATCTTGTTTCTTGCAACTCCTTTTGTAAGAACATCAGCAAGTTGCATTGTTGCCTGATTGTCACAATATATCATCATAGGTTCTTTGGCCTCAATTCCAATCTCCCCTAACAAGGAACGGATCCAGAGGAGCTCTAAAACGCCATGTGCCATGGCTCTATATTCAGCTTCTACACTTGACCTTGCCACAGCTATCTATTTCTTACTCTTCCATGAAACTAAATTACCTCCAACAAGAGTACAAACTCCTGATGTAGATTTCCTGTCATCTAGGCACCTTGCTCAATCAGCATCTGTGTAAGCCTTTAACTTCAACTATCCATGGTCAACAAACAATATGCCTCTACTTGGGTGTCCCTTCAAATAGGAAAGTATCCTGTCAATAGCCTCCCAATGCTGAACCCGTAGTGCATGCATGTATTGACTCACCACTCACTACATAAGAGATGCCTGGTTGTGTCATATATAAGTATAGCAACCGCCCCACTAACCTCTGATATCTTCCAACATCCTTCATTAGTCCACCCTCTGAAGCATTTATCTTGTGGTTCTGATCAATAGGTGTATTAGCTGCCTTTGCCCCAAGATTTCCTATCTCCTATAGTAGATCTATAACATACTTCCTCTGTGAGATGAAGATCCCATGCTTGGACCTTGCCACTTCAATGCCCAGAAAGTACTTCAACTCCCCAAGATCCCTAATCTCAAACTCTTTGTGCAGATTCTTCTTCAGGGTATCAATCTCACTCAAATCATTTCCTGTAACTACAATGTCATCCACATACACTATCAAAACTGACACTAGTGACCCCCTCCTCTTCACAAAAAGAGTATGATCAGATTGAGTTTGAGTATAACCAAATACAATCAATGCACTTCTAAACCTATCAAACCAATCTCTAGGTGATTGCTTTAAACCATATAGGCACTTTTTCAACTTGCATGCCTTCCCTTTTTCCACATTATTGTAGAAGGCAGCTGGAAGGTCCATATCAGTGTTTTAAAAGGCGTGGGAGGCATACGCCTGGAGGCGCACTTCCAGGCGAGGCGCTCCCAAAATGCACTAAGGTGTATGCTAGAGGCACTGACACCTCTGAGGCGTACGCCTTAGGTGCAAGAGGCGTACGCCTCTTGCGCTTTTTTCATAAGGTGTGCTAGAGGCATATGCCTCATGTGCCTCATCATGCACATCTGATATAAAAAGAGAAAAAAAAAAGAAAAAAGAAAAAAAAGGAAAGAAAAGGAAAGGAAAAGAAAGAGAGGGAAAGAAAAAGAAAGAGATTTTTATTAATGTTATGCATCTTTATTCTTCTTAATATAAAAGATTTTTATTAAAAATAAAGAAAAAATAAGACCCCCCTTCCTCTTCATCCTCCTCCTAACTCCCCTCCTCTTAAGGAGGCTTACGCCTCCTTGTGTTCGAGAGGCTTACGCCTCTAGGTAGTGGAACGCCTCCGCGTTTTAAAACATTGGTCCATATACACTTCCTCCTGCAAGTCCCCATTGAGAAAGGCATTCTTCACATCAAGTTGGAAGAGTGGCCAAGTATGTAGCTGCTAGTGATAGAAGAATCCGAATTGAACTCATCTTTGCCACTAGTGCAAAAGTTTCCAAGTAATTTATGCCATAAGACTGAGTATACCCTTTTGCAACTAGCCTTGCCTTGTACCTTTCTATACTTCTATCAGCCTTGTACTTCACTGTGTAAACCCATCTGCATCCAATAGTCTCCTTGCCATCAGGCAAATTCACAATCTCCCATGTTTGATTTTTAATCAATGCTTTCATTTCCTCCTGCGTAGCTGTCTTCCACTCAAGTTTGGAGAGAGCCTCACTAACACTCCTGGGTATAGACACAAAGTCAAGGGAGGAAAGGAAGGCCCGGTAGGAAGGGGATAATCCACTGTAGGAAAGATAGTGTGAGATGCAACGAGTAGTACACTTCCTCTTCCCTTTTCTGAGGGCAATTGGGAGATCAAGGTCATCTGCAATGGCGTTAGGAGTAGGGGTAGTAGTATCAATAGGAACTAAACCATCAGGGGGAACAAGAGGCATAACCAGGTCTGTGTCAGTTGAACCTGGAATCTCCGATGAGCCGATAGGGAGTGACATGGGTTCCTCTACTGTGGAATCAACCTCCCTATGTTGTCGTAGGCGTTGTCGTGTAAAACACTAAGAGACAGGATGCAATAGAGGTGGCAAAGTGGGTGAGATAGGTAGGTCAGACACTAGAGTAGACGAAGGAGCTGGAATAGGAAGTGGTATAGATTGTTCACTTCCTTCTCCAAAACACTCCCCCCTGAGAAGAACCCCTCGAGAAAAAAGGTGTGGACTCAAAAAAGGTGACATCCATAGTAACATACCAACTCCCAGAAACTGGATCATAACAACAATACCCCTTCTAATTTCCTGCATACCCAAGGAAGACACACTTCTTCGCTTAGGATCCAGCTTTGAGTGGTGAGGACCATAATTGTCAAGGCGACGTCTAGGCGACAAGGTGCCCTTGGAGGCTCGCCTCGCCTAGTCGCTAAGTAGTTTTGTGTAGTATGCTATAAAATACTTTTATATTTCTAATTTTTTAGCATTATAATTATAAAATAGGCATTATTAAACTAGAATACTCATTTTATGTGTTTATGTACTAATTTCTTTTTATTATTTTCTTATTTGTTAGGGTTTAATCAACACACACATTGCTAACTACTGTATTGAATCCATGGTTCAAAGTATCAATACACCTCTGTGTATCTGCAGTGGTGTGTATCAGTACTTATAACGATACTCCCCCTATATTTTTAGTTCTTTGGTTTTCAATTTCATTTATATATATATATATACTATTTTAAAAAATGGGTTCTTGAAAACACCTATAAACATGTGTATTGGGGCGCCAAAGATACAATACAATACACCCGATACGGGGAGTATCGTATCGAAGTTTTGATCCTTGATTGAATCCTCAAAGATTTTAGAACCTGAACTAATAAACAAGGGAAGAACTTAAAATTTTGTCTAATCAACACATTTTCTTCTTACTGATCTTTTTCCATCTTTTCTTTTCTTCTTTTCCTATAACAAAAGTAGGGGTTCAGCCCCTATATTTTTTGAATTTTCTTTCCTTTGTTCCTTTTCTTCTCATAAAATGTTGATTTTCTAAACTTAAAACATGAAATTTATACTTCTCTTATGAAAATTATGGATAATTATTAAGGAAAGATGGTTATGGAACCTAAAGAACTACCCTAGGATATATGGTTTTACTTAAAAAAAAAAACCATCGCCTAGGCGACAAGCCTTGCCTTGGCGCCTTAAAAACTATGGCGAGGACCAAGAACATGGACAAAGCATACACATCCAAACACCTTTAGAGGAATATGGAATGTCTCCCCCTCAAGAAAAAGAAGGTTGAACAGAGTGCTATATCCAAGAACACGAGAAGGCACCCAATTAATCAAGAACATTGCTGTAAGAACTGCATCACCCCAAAAATGAACTGGAACTGTAGAGCTCAACATCATGCTTCTTGCTACTTCCACAATATGTTTGTTCTTCCTTTCTGCTACACCATTCTGTCATGAAGTGTATGTACAACTGCTTTGATGGATAACTCCATGCTCCAATAGGTATGATGACAGGTTTTTTTCAAAGTATTCCCTGGCATTGTCTGATATAAAAACTTTCACTCGTACCCCAAACTGTGTTAGCATCATCTGATGGAATTGTTAAACCAAAGACAATACCTCATCACTAGGATCTCATCAAATATATCCAAGAGTATCAAGAATAATCATCCACAAACAGAAGAAAATACCGATAGCCATCCATAGAGGAA